ATAATCCAATCCCATGCTTTGGAATTTTCTTGCAATGACCTTTACTGCAACAGGACTGGCAAAAAGACAATAACTGACTGCAGGCCACTGATACAACAGGCCTTAAGTACAAGCAGGAACACCCATTAACACACAACTGAGAGAGAAAACAGCAACAACAGACAGGCTGAACTTGAGAAAGAGCATGGAGGAAGGCCAAAGCCACCTCTGCCCACACGCTGTCAACTGGATCCCAAAGGAGGTTCTGCCTGGGCCTGGAATTGAGCTTCCAATACAGAACTTGCAATATGTATTTGATCGCACAGACCCAGGAAGGAATTGGGGGGGGGGGGACATAACATGTAGCGAGGCCCTTAAAGGCACATCAAAGCTTGTGCAGCCATTGGTCTTAGTTCTCGGGACATTTGTAGGGCTTTTCTCATGAATGAATTATTTGTTGTCCAATAAGGTTTACCGATTTGTTCTTCTTATCCCTGACTTTGATTTAGCAGACAGACTCTTCTTTATTTACTTTATTAATAGCCTGCCTTCCCCACTGAGACACAAACCCGATTACAACAGATGTTTTTAAAACCTAATGCAATAGGATAAAGCAGACAATAAAAATGCAGACAAATTTCTATCCAAAGAGTAAACAATGCAGAAAGTGGGTTATAAAGGCAGAAGACAGTGTAGGAAATGCAAGGTGACACACACAATGAAAAGACTACAATCCTATTACCTCATAAAAGCGCCCCTCTGAAAAGGCTGTAGCTTTGTAAAAATAGAAGATATGTCTAATGCATCACTTGGCCCGCTCATAGGTCATTGTGGCCACATCACCATGATGAATGTTGACAGGATCTCGGGTGGCTACTGCTTGTCCATCCTCGTTGCTGAAATTATGTGAGGACTCCATTAATGATGTCTCTTCTTCTTCTTCTTCTTCTTCAGTACGGCAAAGAAGCAGCACAGCGCGTTCACAGTGACAATCACGCCATGCCGCTTCTGCGGCAAACAGGATTTTTTGTTTGTCTCGCCGAAGTCTGTGCATGTGCATGATCATTTGTGCGTATCCTGTGGGGACTTTAAAAAAAAAATCCGGTTTGCAAGGGGACAGGGGCGGGCGCCGGATGCCCCGGGATTCCCGAGACGCCCGCCCTTGCCCCGCGTTTTCCAGAAACCAGTACATCGTAAGTACTAGTTTTTTTACTCCGCATCTTCGGCGGGAAGCCACGGGTTAGCCACGGGAGCACTACGCTTCCCAGATACTGTGGTGTGATCGCGCCCAGAAAATCCACCTATCATCCGTATCTTTAGCATGGCAAATGGTCCGTGTGAACGGGGCCCAAGATGGGTAGCCATGTTAGTCTGTCTGTTAGCCTGTCTGTAGCAAGAGTCCAGTAGCATCTTAAAGACTAACAAATTTTGTGGCAGGGTATGAACTTTCGTCTGTGAAAAAGTGAGCAGCGACTCACAAAAGCTCATCGCAAATCAGTCACTGACTCAGAGTACAACTTCTTCAGCGATCCACCCCTTCTTTTTTTAAAAACCCACCACTACAGAAAAATGCTGGTTTATCAGGTAATGTGCGTTAAACTGGAATCATTCTTCATGGATAGGGTTGCAGTTGGAGGCCAATTATTATCAGTATGGGACATATCCTTTGGGGTTCCATAGGGCTGAGTTGTATTTCAATCTTTTCAATCTCTCTGTATATCCCTTAAGGCAGATTATTCATAGTTTTAGGGTTAATGGCGGGGTGGTGGAGGCCGTGGCTCAGTGCTAGAGAATCTGGTTGGTAAGCAGAAGGTCCCAGGTTCAGTCCCTGGCATCTCCACTTAAAGCATCAGACAGTAAGTGATGAAAGACCTCTTCTGCCTAAGATGTTGGAGAGCTGCTGCCAGTCTGAGTAGACAATACCGACCTTGATGGACCAATGGTCTGATTCAATATAAGGCAGCTTCCCATGTTTATGTGTTCAACATGCTGAGGATATGCTGCTCTACACATCCTTATCCAGCTCTCTTGGTAATCTGGTTGAGGTCCTCAATCAATGCCTGGATGTTGCAGTTAACTGGTTAACAGTGATCCAATTGAAACGACAGCCCAAAAAGAAAGAAGTCATTCTGGTTGGGAAGGCAGAGATCTTGACGGGCATTGTACTCTCCACTTTTGATGGCGTTTGGCTGACTCTTGCTGATTCAGTTAGGAGCCTTGGTGTTATCTTGGACCCAACATTACTGCTGGAGAAGCAATTTAATGCAGCTGCAAGAAGCCACTTTTTCCCAACTAGCCTGGAATACAACTGCCTACCGGGACAGAGGGGATCTGGCCACCAGGATCCATGCCACGGTTGGTTGGTGCAGAACGCCACAGCTCAGCAATTATTGGGAGCGAGACAGAACATGCATGTTATGCTCATTCTGCGGTGGCTCCATTGACTGTCCATCCATTCCCAGGCTCAATTTAAAGTACTGGCTATCACATACAAAGCCCTTCATGCCCTTGGACCCTCATATCTTTAAGACGATCTCTCCCCGTATGCTGCATGTGGCCTGCTCTGGCCTGCTGGCTCTATTCCACCTTGCCTTCCAAGGTTTTCCAAAATACACGGAGAGGCTTCTCTCTCTCTCTGTCTGTCTGATACTTTGCCACCACCTCATGACCTTCGTAGGAATTGCCTGCTGGGGGGTTCAGGGCTCCCAGCTTCCCTTCCAAGTTCTGAGGCCTTGCCTCTGTAGCCTCTTGCCAACTGCCTGCCTCCCCCCCCCAGCACTCCTTTTAAAATATTGTGTCCAAGATGGTGGAGGTCTACATGGTACAGAGAACACTGCCAGCATCTTAAGTTATAAAGTATTTATTAAAAAGAAAATGTTCATAAGCATACTTTTAGCGCAGCACCAAAATGAGCAAGGGGGCTCTGAGGAGTCAGAGGTAGGGAATAAGCCTTGGCCCAGGTCATTTCTGGCTCATGTGACCGGGGGGGGGGGCGTTCAGACTAGGAGGAGGGAAATTTACTTCTCCTTCCTCATTCTCTCTGGGACAATCTGGAGGTAGGTGGGGAGGGCAACTGGGATTGGGGAATTTGTGTCTCACAAAGTTTACTGCCAACCCCGAGGACACCCACCCTTTTCCACAATACTGGATGTAGCTGGGGAGCCTGACCCCTTTAAACTGAGTTGTTGGTTTGAGGGACACAATCTTTTCCTTTCAACCCAAATTAATCTTACTGCCAGAACTCTTTGGGCTTGCAGGAAGCTGGACTGGGAAGGGATTAGACTTGGGGGATGCCTCTTTAGAACTCCTTCTCAGATAAAAAGCCATGAAACTAAAAGACGCCTGCTCCTTGGGAGGAAAGCGATGGCAAACCTAGGCAGCATAATAATAAAAAAGAGACATCACCCTGCCAACAAAAGTCCATATGGTCAAAGCAATAGTATTCCCAATAGTAATGTATGGCTGCGAGAGTTGGACCATAAGGAAGGCCGAGTGCCGAAGAATAGATTCTTTTGAATTATGGTGCTGGAGAAGACTCTTGAGAGTCCCTTGGACTGCAAGGAGATCGAATCAGTCAATCCTAAAAGAGATCAGCCTTGACTATTCCCTGGAAGGTCAGATACTGAAGCTGTAGCTCAAATACTTTGGCCACCAAATGAGAAGGGAGCAGTCACTGGAGAAGACTCTGATGCTGGGAAAGACTGAAGGTAAAAGAAGAAGGGGATGGCAAAGGATGAGATGGTTAGACAGGGTTATCAAGGCAACGAACATCAAACTCCAGAGGACAGAAGACAGGAGGGCTTGGCATGATGTGGTCCATGGGGTTGCGAAGAGTCAGACTCAACTGTGCGACTGAACAACAACAAAAATTGAGGATGCAGGCTGTTCACACTATGCTTACGCCAGTAGCAGAAAGGCTGCCTCATGTTTGGTGTAGTGGTTAAGTGCGCGGACTCTAATCTGGGAGAACCGGGTTTGATTCCCCACTCCTCCACTTGCACCTGCTGATGTGACCTTGGGTCAGTCGCTGTTCACACTATGCTTACGCCAGTAGCAGAAAGGCTGCAGATGCCTCATGTATTTCTTCACAGGTTTTGGAAAAGAGAAATGTTTTTGCCAGTTTGGCAAATGTGAGATAGAGTAGCTTGGCAAATATTCTGAAGTACTGAGTTTCACAGAGGAGGGTAACTGCAAAAAACTACTTTCTGAGCCTTTCTGAAACCTCCAACACCTGGGCATTCAACAAAGAGCCACATCAGACCCAGCTATAGGAAAATTGCACCCTTGTGTGGATTCCCTGAGGAATAGGAAGTTTGATGTCTACCTCAGGCTCTTGCCACACACTGAGCACTGATGAGGTTCCTCCCCTGTGTGGACTCCAACATTTAAGGGGAATATCAGCTGGTCTTCAGTCTCCTTCCACCCTCAGAGCACATCCTTGCTATCTTCCCGGTGAGTTTTATTTGAAGCTTCAATCATGGTTAAAGCTCTTTCCACAATTTATTTATACCAGTTTCTGGGCCAATGCAAACACTTTACTAGGTGTGCAAGAAAAAAATCAATGGTTGTGAGCCATGAAACTGATGAGTTTAATGGCTGGAAGGCATTTCTGCCTAACAGTGGATAGGCGCACCCACCCCACTGTTAGGCTAAAATGGCTCCAAGCCATTTTAATGATCAATTTTGCTTCCCCCTGTGGGGGAGCAAACCCCACGTTAAATGGCAGCTGGTCACTTAAACCTGACAGCCTGACTGGCTGCCCATTCTCCCCAGCCGCTATTTGGTTTTGCCATATGAACCTAAATAAAAGCCGAATAATTTCAGGTTTTATAGTGTCAACCCTTTCTATGGTTTGTGGTTTTCTTTTAGGTATCCAAGAAGAGAAAAGCTCTTTTCACAGGCTAAGCAGTTTCATGGTTTCTCCTCATATGGGTTCTTAGATGATCTTGAAGAGTGCCACTCCAGCTGAATCTCTTGCCACACTCTGAGCATTCAAAAGGTTTCTCCTTTGTACAGGTTCTTAGATGATTTTGAAGAGAGTTACACCAAATGAATCTCTTTCAATACTCATTCAAAAGGTTTCTCACCTGTGTGGGTTCTTAGATGCCGTTGAAGATTGCACCTGTGACTGAATGTCTTTCTACACTCTGAGCATTCAAAAGGTTTCTCCTTTGTGTGAGTTCTTTGATGCTGTTGAAGAGTGCCATTCTGACTGAATTTCTTTCCACACTCTGAGCATTCAAAAGGCTTATCCTTTGTGTGGGTTCTTAGATGCTGTTGAAGAATGCAGCTCCGACTGAATCTCTTTCCACACTCTGAGCATTCAAAAGGTTTCTCCCCTGTGTGGGTTCTCTGATGCTGTTGAAGAGTGCCACTCTGACTGAATCTCTTTCCACATTCTGAACATTCAAAGGGTTTCTCTCCTGTGTGGATTCGACGATGCTGTTGAAGATTGCCACTCCGACTGAATTTCTTTCCACAGTCTGAGCATTCAAAAGGTTTCTCCCCTGTGTGGGTTCTTTGATGCCGATGAAGATGGCAACTCCAACTGAATTTCATTCCACACTCTGAGCATTCAAAAGGCTTCTCCCCTGTATGAGTTTGTAGATGCTGGTGAAGATGGCCACTACTGATTTTCTTCCCACACTCTGAGCATTCCAAAGGTTTCTCCCTTCTGTGGATTCCTTGATGCCGCCGAAGATGGCTACTCTGACTGAATTTCATTGCACATTCTGAGCATTCAAACGGTTTCTCCCCTGTGTGGGTTCTTAGATGCTGCTGAAGAGTGCCACACTGACTGAATTTCTTTCCACACTCGAAGCATTCAAAAGGCTTCTCACCTGTATGAGTTCTTAGATGATTTTGAAGAGTGCTACTTGAATTGAAATTCTTTCCACACTCTGAGCATCCAAAAGGTTTCTCCCCTGTGTGGGTTCTAAGATGCTCTAGAAAATGGCCACTCCGATTGAATCTCTTTCCACAGTCTGAACATTTAAACGGTTTCTCCTCTCTGTGAGTTCGTAGATGCTGGTGAATATGGCCACTTCTACTGATTTTCTTTCCAAACTCTGAGAATTCAGAAGGTTTCTCTCCTCTGTGGATTCTTTGGTGCATAAGGAACTGTGATCTGTATCTGAAATATTTTCCACACCGAAAGCATTTATGTGCCTTCATTATACTGTGGTTTGGAAAACGTGTATTACCCTTTCTTCTATCAGAGAACATCATTCCACCCTCTGAGAAGATAAATGGCTTCTCTCCTGAATGAATCCTTTGGTGTTGAGCAAGGTCTGATTTCTCTGACAAGCTCTTGCTGGAGTCTGAGCAGCTATAAGGTTTCTCTCCTGTATGTGTTCGTAGATGTCTAATTAGTTCTGAGAACATCATTCCACCCTCTGAGAAGATAAATGGCTTCTCTCCTGAATGAATCCTTTGGTGTTGAGCAAGGTCTGATTTCTCTGACAAGCTCTTGCTGGAGTCTGAGCAGCTATAAGGTTTCTCTCCTGTATGTGTTCTTAGATGTCTAATTAGTTCTGCTCTACTAAGGAAGAGATTTCCACACTCAAGGCATTGATGGGTCTTTCCACTGTGCATTTGTAAATGAATATTATATTGAATTTGATCTGAGAAGTTCATTCCACACTCCAAGCAGTTGTATGTTTCCTCCGCTATG